GTCCCTTCCAACCCTAGAAACTATGAAACTATGAAGAAACTATGAAACTGTTTTTCACCTAAGTGATTTTGTTCCTAGATGAACATGCAAAGATAGACATTGGCCTGCCTCACTATAAACCGTCACGGTTCCAGGAACTCAAGATGAGAAAAGAGATCATGAAACAGAACCGCCAGAACATGGAAATGGAAAGAGCGTCCCGCCTCAGAACACGTATGTCCCCTCTTCCCCCCACACCCTTAATTCAGCCTCAGCTTCCTCTGCCTTCGTAGCTGACGTGGTTTAGCCCAGGGGCGGGCAAAATACAGCTTGTGGGCCGAATGCAGCGGGGAGCGGGGGAGTGGGCCCAGGCCCCAGGCAGTAGTTGTTGTGGGGGGGACATGGGGCTCTGTCCCTGCCCACTCCCCCCTCCCCCCATTCTTGATGAGCAATTGGCTAGTTAATCATATGCGGCCCAGCCCATGGCTGCTTCTGTTGCACTCTGCATGGGGCCGAGCCCCACCCACTGCTGCCGGGGCAGCTGGAGGGCCTCGGCCAGTGCACAGCTTCTGGGCAGGGCTGCTGCTGCTGTTCAGCTCTCCTGGCCTCCAGCGACTTTTTCTGTTCCTCCTGCAGCGCTCTGGGCAGTAGATAGGGAAGCGGTGGCAGGCAAGGGGGAAGCTGCATCTGGGTGGGAGCGCAGGGCAGAGGCCCCCACACCCAGCAGGAGCACAGAGCCCAGGTCAGCCCGTTCCATCACGCAGAGCTCCCTGCACAGCTCCTGGAGCTTGTGGATCACCAAGGGGAAGCCCCATGTGATGGAGCCAGCAGCCTTCCCCACTCCATGCTGCCATGTGCAGCTCCTGGGACTCCACTGGAACTGGTGGGGAGCCCTGTACAATGGAGCCAGGCTGGCTATTCTTTCTGCTTCCTGGCAGAGTCCCAGGATCTGTGTGTGGCAGCAGGGAGTGGGACCAAGCCACCCCCATGGCTCACAGTTCTGGCTGGGTCCCGGGAGTGGTGCATGAGACATGGGAAGCTTTGTGCGATGAAGCCAGGCCGGCCTGGCCTTGCTGCCTGCCACCACATGTAGCACCTAGAATGGCCAGAGCTGCACACTGCCAGGGGGCTCCACCTTGCCAGAGTCATGAGCGCACAGAGGGCCTGCTGCTGCCACCACTGGCATCAGGGGCTATGCGCGGGGGGGGCTGTCACATTCATACTCTCCCAGACCCACATGCCTTCCCTTTCCCCCCCTCACACACAACACCACCACACACCCCTTTCACCCTGCCACATACCACCCCCGCTCGCACACTCCCCCACACACAATACACAAAAGTAAGACTTTATTTTGAGCTATTATGCAATCATCTCTATATACACTACACAAACGCATGTAAATCAGGACAAAAGTATTTTTTTCAAATAAAATGAAAATATGTTATAGTAGATCTTTAATTTTTAGTGTATGACTTCATTTTTCCCCTGGTTCCACCCTGACCCTGGAGTACTTTAGGGGGTAAGGGGAGGAACTTCCGGTAACAAATGTCAGGGGTTAGGGGTGGGACTTTTGGCCCCAAGATGGCAAC